GAGTTATCCCAGTAATATTACTGAATGTCTCCTTGGGAGTCCTCAGATGCACTTTAAATAAAAATCATGATTTTTAAAAAGGCACCCATTGAATTTTAGTCACATGCTTAATTTTTCATCGAAATATCAGCAAATTTGACTACCCTCCCAATTCATCATCTCTAAATGACTTTTCACAGTAAAAAAAAATAATAAATATTCTCTCAAAGGATGGTCAGATGCCAGCACAACTGTTCAGAAGAATATTTCAGTGGTTCCTCAATTATTTCAACCAAAGACACTCCAAAGACTCCCTGGACTTGGATAGCATCTTAGGAAAAAGGACACCACTAAAGGAAGGGCAGCTGTTCTACAAGGATCCACTCACTTGGAGGCACATGTTCAGTTTGTTGGGAAGAGTGGGATTTTGGGGGCGGGGGGCAGGACACGTTTTGGGTTGAGGTTTTGGGCAAAGGTACAGAGGCAATTATCAAAATCTTTTATGGTTATAATATATAATAGCTATAGTGTTCATTTTTAGATACCCTGTTAGCACTATCACACTGCTCTGGATTCAATTTGGAAAATTCTGTATTTTTTTTAGTTGGTGCACACATTAAGTGAACGGTCTTCAATTGTAACATAAAACTATCTTCGACAATAAAACATTTGCAAGACGTTTAAATGCACATTATTCTCAAGGAACATGGCCTCACTGGTCCTAATGGTCACTAAATAGAACTCATTCTCTTTGAAAATAAGTACTCTATACCTCTTTGTAAATAGAAGTTACTATATATTTTGAATTCCAACTTTTGAGAGACAATTTTCTATGAATATCTCATGTTTCTGCAAACCTTGTGAGCAGAGGCACACTGCTTTTGTTCCAGACTATCTTTTTATGTGTGCATAGGGAAACAGCCTCGGAAGAAAGAGTATCTCCCTCTGGGCAGCTTTGCTTGCATACTCTTTTTTTTTTTTTTTTTTTTGCGGTACGCGGGCCTCTCACTGTTGTGGCCTCTCCCGTTGCGGAGCATAGGCTCCGGACCCGCAGGCTCAGTGGCCATGGCTCACGGGCCCAGCCGCTCCGCGGTATGTGGGATCTTCCCGGACCGGGGCACGAACCCGTGTCCCCTGCATCGGCAGGCGGACTCTCAACCACTGCGCCACCAGGGAAGCCCTGCTTGCATACTCAAAGAGTAGGTTTCAATTCCTCAGCATGTGCAGCATCCACCTGAGCTACTCCAATCAGCCCCATGGAACTTGGGAGACAGAGGAGTAGATGGGGAACAGGAAGCTCACGCAGCCTCCAGTGCCTCTGACTTGGGAGTCTCCTGTCTTCTGCCAGCATCCATGGCACTGTGGCAGGTTAACTTGTTAGCTTGCACACACAGTAAAAATCTCAGACCCTTCAATAGTTTTTGACACCTACCATCCAAAAATTAATTTTGTAGAATAAAAGGATTTTTTTTGTCCTACCTGACTTCCCACCTCTCTCAAGCAATCTAATACATTTGTATTAATAGACGTGGATTGTCTTCGGGAGTTTGTTGCAAAGGGGCTTAATGTCTCTAGCCAGAAAACCGAGAAGTAAATTTAATATATTAAAGGACACATGTAATAAAGGCTAGGGTTAGACAGGAATACAAAACATTAAAGGGAAGGAGGTAAGCCTAGAAGGTGGCGATAGAAATAAATTACACAGCCATGTCTTTAATTTTGGTTCTTTGTGTCACAAACTAAACCATTCTTTGCTAAAGAAAATTATAGCCCTATCGCCCTCTACCGGAACCAGGCTAGAAACTACAGGGAAATAGTTTTAAAGTTCTTTATGGAATCTGCTCATAATTATCCAGATTTTAAAGTGTACACTTCAGGTTTCCAGTAACCCAGCCTGGCAGGTTAATGCTGGACCATCTAGTGCCGAAAAGAGTGGACAGTCCTTCTCATGCTCACCTGTAATTTGTAGCAGTCACTGACTGCAGGGACCGCTAACAGAGCTGTAGAGTTTGCTGGAAGTCCCTGGAAGCCACACCTAGCACTTCTGCCCTCACCTGTCCCACTTTCTTTCCATGGACAACAGCTGCTTAGAACCCTCCCCTCATCTATTAACCCCATCACCAAACCTACTCAGTTCCACCTCAAAAAATATCACTTTGCTACACAGTGAATGCCAACCCTTCAATTCCAGCAGAGTAGCATCGTTTTGTGAACTCAAATGATGAGTGCCAAAGGTCCAAACCTTCATTTTTGCTTAAATGGCGGTATATCAACACTTCAAAGCAGCATATCCAAATATTTTGATCATGCATTGAAATCAGAAAAGAATGTATAATGCACCAATAAATGTATTATTTATTTACAAATTATAGAAGTGTACAATTGTACAATATATCATGTACATTATAAAACACACAAAAATAGAAATTTAAAAGGCTGAGATTAAATACAAACAACTGCTTTAACATTTTCCCAGTGGACTGATTACCTGCATATTCCTGGGATGTCCACGCCCCCACCTGAAACCACAGCCCTAAAGCAGGCCAATGATTGCTAGACTTGAATTTTTAGCTCAAGTTACAGAAAAATGTACAAGATCACAGCTTTTTTTTAGTTTTGCAAAATAGCTCTAGCATCAAGTTTAAATGTGTGAAGATGCTTGATGCTAACTTTTTAAGACATATTTGGGCTAATCACTGCACAGCTGGTAGGTAAAATGTCACATTATGGTTCACTGATAGCTGTTTCAGTTACTATAAGGCAGATTAAATAGGGGATTTCATGGAGTTGAATAAGAATATTTGGGGAGGAAAATGCTTTAAAGAAACACTTAATAATAAAGGATGAAGGTTTGCCTTTTTCTTTTTTTAAGCCAACAAGTAGCTAGCACCTTAAAAAACTCCTCTGCCTACAGTGGAAAGACAAGCTAAAAAAGGCATTCCAAACAATGGTCATTAGCCAATGCAAATGGATTAAAACAGACTGCCACACATCTGCCTGCCCTAATACCTATGAGTCATTAAGAACGCAAATTCTTTGATTTTTACAGCCCCAGTGTCCAATCACAGACCCAGCCACATTGAAACTCAGTAAATATGTGATGATGAACAACCCCTCAAAAAATATGCGAAGTGCTTGCTGAATTGCATTTGAAGTAACAATTGTTGCTAAAGACCACTCCAGTATCTGGTTTTGATTGGCTGAAGTGAATAACTGGATAAATGTTATGGTCGAGAATTATATGCTCAGAGAACCTCATTACATTCCTCAACACCCTTGCTCCCTTTTTCCACATCAGTCCATTGGTGTCCACCCGCTCTGTTTCCACCCAGGGCCTGAGCTTCCACCTCGCAGTGGAGCCCTGCAGCCAGACAGGCTCAGCATCCTTCTGCACCCCTCAGTGCAAGCTGGGAGAAATACAGTAATGTTCTACACAGAAAACCTTATTCAATGTACTCAATTTTTAAAAAATATTCACAAACTTTTTAAAAAAATTTTAAAGGACATGAACACCTGACTTCAAGATTGAGATATGCACGTGGGGCCTAAATCAAGTTTCATAACACAAAAATTTACAACTGAAAGACTTTCAATTGTGGTCTCCTCTGGACGAGTACCTTTTGTTTTAATAGGTACTTTACCAATTTAAAGAGAAAAATATTATACAATTTAAGTAGCTTAATTTCATAAATAACCAGTTTCACTTTGTATATGCACACTGAATGTTTTCGTCTATATATATATTCATCTATTCTGTTGACAAAACGTCAGTGTTTCTTGATGGGAACAAAACTGAAACTGCACTCAGTGAAAGTTTCCATCTGATTAAATGCAAACCAGGGTAAATTAGTTATTAAATCTCAATAATAGAGAAAGAAAGAAGGGATGTAGAATTCAGAGACTTGCTGGAACGATGAGAACTATGAAATGAAGGCTCAGTTCTTTCACTATTGCAATATGGAAAGACTCATTAGAAGAAAATGTATTATTTGGTTAGGAAGTACACACGTATCACACAAATGGCAAAGGAAAACAGGCTAGTAGGGTTTCCTAATGAGGTGATGCTGTTTTTTTAAGCACTGTGGTGAGTTACTGGGTTGTAAAACCATCCTCTAGCCTTAAAATCAGAAAGAAGCCAGTTTGAATAACTTACAAAGCCTCTTTAAGACAAAATAGCCACTAGAATAGAAATACTTTTCTTGAAAAGTATCTTTCAAGAAAACCAGGAGTGCGCATACTACACATTGTTTCATTTGCTCACTTTCCTTGCCTTCATGCCACCTGCGTTTTCTCTAACCTCTCCTTTCACTGGATGCTACAGGCTGGCTCACTCCCTTCCACCTCACTTAGGTGGCCAGCAGCTTCCCAGCAAAACCTGACTCGAAAATTAAACCCACCCTCTACTTATAAAATGAAACAAATCCTCAGTGGCGCTTCTGCTTCCCAAGGAAGGGTCTCACTAACACCTTTAAAAGAAAAATAGGTGATGGAGGTTCCAGTGAAAAAATTGCTTTGACCGTATTATAGGAAATATTACATCCTAAATCTAGAACCCAAAAACCCCCCATTCATGTTTTTGGTTAAGTTTCAAATTTTATTTCCAACTACTGCAGTAACAAAATACCAGTGGTAATTCTGCATGGAAAGTGACAACCTTCTAAGTAAAGAAGGTCACAAATTAGTATTCCAAGAGTACTTTGGTCTGTGGAGATTTTGATAGGAGAGGATTATTACAATCAGTCCTATAATAGAGACATGCTTCCTCCGTATCTAGTAATACCTCAATAACTCAGCATGTACACATTTCTGCTCTTTATTTGCACTCCCTTCCAGGTTGTACTGTGTGATAGTGTGAGGGGAAAATTCCTCCCAATCATGGGTTTTTCTATCGTATACAGAAATAGCAATCACTTCAGCAGTCATGTACATTATTATTAAATTTTTAGTTGAAAAATAAAAGAATGAGTTATCCTATCATATCCCTTTCTGGGAGTAAAAAGACACACCATTACAAACGTAAAATGAGTCAAACTTCTATTTTATTGACAGAAGTCCAAAATGAATACAAAAAAATGCCTCGTTTGCATGTTATATTTTTCCTTAAAAGGCTTCTGATAGAGTCAGGTAGATTAAAAGCTAAGAATGTATTTCAGCTTTTATAATGAACCTTTTAAAAAAGGTTTAATAACATAAGTCACCAATATCAGAGAACATATGGTCCCACAATCATTTTTAGATCTATAGCTTATAAAAAGAATTAGATCCTGTATTGATCTGCTAAAATAGAGGCTTAAAAATGTTTTAAGCCATTAAAAGCCATTTTTATAATCTGATAACTCTGGGCAATTAAAAGAAGGAAAATCCCAAAATGTAGCCCTCTATATTATGTGGAATGTGACAGAATGCCAACTTACGACCAAGATAGGCAAAAATAAAATGTTTAAAGCTATGAATGGAGCTGTTATAAATACTCTTGTATCACTGCAAAATGTCAATAAGTGAATAGAGCTTACCAAGAGATTAAAACTTGAGCAGATGTTACTTAAAACATTTGTGGTGTTTATCATACTTTAACGTTTGTTAAAACTAAAGCTAAACAAAGAAAAGTCGCTCATTTATAGACTGTTTTTCATGTACCTTTACTTTCACTGGGACCATAAAAGATCAGATAATACATAGCCCACACTTCTGGACAGTTATAACAAAGGGTTTATTATCATTTGCAGATGAAATAAATGCACCATCCCATACTTGAAAGGCTTTCACAAGCCTTAAGCATTTTTCAGACTGTACCAAGGCACCACCACTGCCTAGTTATATTATGCACCCATTTCTAGTAAAGAACTAACATCTCCTTCAACATCAGTTCTGCACTGTTTCTGGTTTATTACACACTTCCAAAACAGCAAAAATTTGCAAATATGTGCAAATACTGTGGTCCATTCATAGTACTGCTTAGTCATCATCTTCCTCCTCTTCTTCCTCTTCCTCAAAGCTATCTTCAAAGCCCTCGCTGTCCTCCTGGTCTTCATCCCCCTCTACTGCTGTATCCCACTGTGGGTGATTTTCTGGCACAGGCTTAGCCTCATGAACTTCCAACTATAAAAAAGAATTAAATGTAGACTTCAGAAACTTGGGGAGGAATAATGGGAGAAATACCTGGTAAAGAAAAGGTTTCTTTGACTGCAGCAATTATAAAGAAATAGATTTTATGCTTTTAACTCTAAATTTAACATACTTAGAACAGATATTCATCCCAGAAATAAAAAGGTGAATCTACTAACACGTAAGTATAGTTAAATTTCTAATGTAGTTTGATTTTAGGAGCTTATACTATTTATTCTGTGGCACGAAAGATGACTAATTGTGATTCTTGAGTGAGAGCACTGAGTAATGTCTCAATAAGTCTTCTGCTGTTGAAGAAAAACTCAAGTGTGACTTCCAAAGAGGTATTTGCAGCCTCCAGACTCATGAAGTAACATTCTACAGCCAATGGAAAGAAACGCAGTATTCTCGTGGGGGAAAAAAAGGTATGTCTTTGCCGGCTCCCTTCTCTTAGGTCTCCAGTATACAGTGCAACAATATTTCTTCAGCACAATCTCTCTAACACAATAGCATGCCTCTTATAAAAAGCTCAAGTGAAACAGTAAACACTGATGGGAGTGTGCTCCAAATGATACACAAATGTATACTCTAAAATGATCAAAAACAAATTAGTTTTGGAAATCAATAAACACTACAATGGAATCTGTGGGAAAACACATGTGCTTTTTAAAGAAAACAGAACCCATTTGGTGAGGCCCTGTAAAGTTACAGCATATTACAGCACATTAAAATGTATCATGTAAGTTATACTCAAGGTTCTAAATCATTACACTCTGTTAATACAACTTAAGTTTATTATTGAAAGAGTAGTCCATCAAGTATATTACCTAAAAGTATGAGATGACCTCTTTTTCTATTATTCTACATTTCAAAACTAGAAAACCTTCCCCAGTATATTAAGCACTTATTCAAACAGACAACCATATGCAATGCATAGTCATTATTCTTACCTTCAATGGTTTAATCTGATCCAAACCCATATAGGAGTCTGATCTTAGAAACACTGTATATTGATAATTTCCAGGCTTTCCTGGTGCAGGAAACTTCAGTTCTACCTAGAATATAAAATCAGCACTTAAAATCTGTATTTTGAGGAGTGGAAGAAACAACAGCTCACTCCTAAAATATTTAGACCAGAGTATTTAATAGCTAGGGTTTACTCAGATGACACAGGAGGTCCTAATAAATGTTACAAAAGTTCTAACAACAACAAATACACACATATATGACGTTTATGTCATATATATACTATACAAAAAGAAAACAAAAAGAGGCAGAATTGATGGGGTCAATTTCTATCTCCACAATTCAAGAAAGCATATTTAAAGCGACCAAGTTCTATGTTGACCATCACGTCTTGACAACTTGAAGAAATGAAGTTGGGTATAAAAGTAAAATAAATGAAATGGACTAAAATAGACTTCACCAGAGAGGAAAGAGTTCTTGCCAAATTTTCTTATTTCTATGACAAATGCTGTGAGATAATAGAAAATATATACATTGGTCTCTGCCCTCGGTTCCAGGTAAAGAGCTCCTCAAACCCCTGTAATTTCCTAAGTGATAAGAGCACAAGGAGCATCTTTTGTTCTAATATCTGGTCTTTGACTCTGGTTCCTGACACTGAGCTTATAAATCCCTTGGAATTTCCTGGATAAGAATGAGTTCTCTTCTAATGAGGTGGCTCTTGGTGGGCTCCTAGATGAGGACTGGTCACCAGAAAGCCCAAACCATGATGAGAGGCTTAGAGCTTTTAGTCCCACGCCCCCAGTCTCCAGAGAAGGGCTGGAAACTGAATTAATGATCAATTATGCCTTTGTGATAAAGCCTCCATAAAAATCCCCGAAGTAGGGGTTCTGGAAGCTTCCGAGTTGGTGAACATGTGCAAGTGCTGGGAGAGTGGATTGCTCAGAAAGAGCATGGAAGCTCCATGCCCCTTCCCACATACCCTGCCCTAGGTATTTCTTCCATTTGGATATTCATCTATATCCTTTATCATATTATTTTCATAATAAACTGGTAAATATGTTTCCCTGAATTCTGTGAGCCATTCTAGCAAATTATTGAACCCAAGGAGGGGGATCATGGGAACCACGATTTACAGCCAGTTGGTCAGAAGTATAGGTGACAACCTGGGACTTGTGACTAGCATCTAAAGATGGAGAGCGGGGGAACAGCAGTCTTGTGGGACTGAACCCTTAACCTGAGGTAGATATCCAGGTAGACAGTGTCAGCACTGAGTTAAACCACAGGACACTCAGCTGGTGTCACAGCGAATTGCTTGGTGCGGGGAAAAGCCCACAAACTGGTATCAGAAGTGTTGAGAGTGTGGCAGTAGTGTTAGAGTAAAGGAGAAACACATGGGAGAAATACGTTTTTTTCTTTACAGATGTCCAATGCCTTACAAGGTCAAAAAGACACGTTATTTCCTATCATATACTAATGAACTTCAAATACAAAAATTTACAAACTCTTAGAAGTTTCTACTCCACTTGGACAAAGGAAGAATACATTTTTATGATGACATTTAGATGTTCTGGTAATCTGCCTCCACTTTCCAAAATCCAGATTTTGTTGGCAAGACTATATATTAAAATTTGCCATTAAAACAAACAAGCTAGGGCTTCCTTGGTGGCGCAGTGGTTAAGAATCCGCCTGCCAATGCAGGGGACACGGGTTCAAACCCTGGTCCGGGATGATCCTACATGCCGCGGAGCAACTAAGCCCGTGCGCCAGAACTACTGAGCCTGCGCTCTAGAGCCCGCAAGCCACAACTACTGAGCCCGCATGCCACAACTACTGAAGCCCGTGTGCCTAGAGCCCATGCTCCGCAACAAGAGAAGCCACTGCAATGAGAAGCCCATGACCGCAACGGAGAGTAGCCCCCATTCACCGCAACTAGAGAAAGCCCGCGCCCAGCAACGAAGACCCAACACAGCCAAAAATAAATAAATAAAATAAATAAATTTATAAAAAAAACAAACAAGCTAGAAAACATCATGGGAGAATTTTTTTTTAAATTAATCTCAAAGTTTGGCCCCTCTAACTGTAACATCAAACCTACAAATCATAAAAGAAAAAGACTACTAAATCATACCATCAAACACCCAAATAAACCAATGGATAAACAAATGAGTAAATATTTCTATTTTTGCTTGATAAAAACAGCCACAATAGTAAAACAAACTGGGGAGAAATATCTGCAACACACATCACAAAGGGCTGATTTCATAATATTTAAACAAAAATAAAGTCCCAAAACCAATTTAAAAGACCAATATAACCCAACAAAAATGAACGACGGTCACAAACAGACACACAAAGAAATATGATTCAAACACACTGAAAGATGTACAGTTTCCCTCTTAAGAGAAATATAAAATTAAACTACACTGAATACAGCCAGCATAGTAAAAATTGATTCAGGCAAGAATCATCAACGTATGCTAAAATGAGTGGGTTAAAGACTGTTGGAGAACAGGGTATTCACATAGTGTCCAAGTATCACCCCACAGATTGGAGGAAGACATACTTTTTACAACAGAGAAAAGACTTAACTAAATGATCAACCATAATATATCACCAATATCAGGCAAACTAATATAATGTGCCCCTGATGTGATGCACTAAGAAGGTTATTACATCACCTACGCAGTATTTTTGCCAAAAATATTTGAGAAGAATATAAGCGTGAGTAACCAATAAGACAAATTCAGATTAAGGGATATCCTATAAAATACCTTGCCTGGACTCTTCAAAAATATCAACATCTGGGACTTCCCCGGTGGCACAGTGGTTGGGAGTCTGCCTGCCAATGCAGGGGACACGGGTTCGAGCCCTGGTCTGGGAAGATCCCACATGCCACGGAGCAGCTGGGCCTGTGAGCCATGGCCGCTGAGCCTGTGCGTCCGGAGCCTGTGCTCCGCAATGGGAGAGGCCCACGTACCGCACACACACAAAAAAAATGTTAAAATTACTCTCAAAAATACCCTTAAGTTGGTACCAACTCTAAGTGTCAAATAAACAAGAAACTACTTCATACATGTACTACTTGGTTAGAAAGCTGGGAAAAAACTTTTTGGATTAAAAATCATCATCATAGATCTTGAAATTCAAAGCCTTGCTCTTGTCCACCAAGTCCGGGTAGACAGAACCTTCTTCCTAGAAAAATAACATAAAAAATCAAGAAGAAAAACAAGAAAATCCAAGGGCAAAATATGTTCATCACAAAGCTATATTAGTGATGTCACTGACAGCGGACAAAGCAATGTAACAAAAAATTCCACTCTAAAAAACGAATCACCAGTTCTTATATTTGTTTTTTAAGACAAAAGGTATATATCTGAGCACTAACCCAAACAGGATAAAAATAATAAATTTTTGTAAAACATAATTAAATTCTGGAGATAAGGTAAGGCATGTGTTCTTAGATAGTAACAGTGAAAACTCCCCAAAATAAGTTGAGAACAAGGTTTTAGAAGACTACCAAGTTGTAGTTCACTACGTTATAAATTTCCAATGAGCTCCCTCCAAAATATGTCAGAGAATAGTTATAAAATGTGTCTTAAATAAAATGTAATAAGCCAAATATGATAAACTGATTTCTACACTGTTTTCTATATTTAAATAATGTTGTTGGATAATTACCTCTTCCGTATCTTTTAGTGTGCACACATGATATGGCATAGATATTAATGTCTGTTCCTTCCTATCTGCGATATAAAGCCACCACCATTCTTGTTTTTCCTGCAAAGAAAAATAAATATAAATAACCAAAAAGAGTTAGAGAAATACAATTTTGCCTTGTCTCATTTTAGCGGTATGGTTATCCCTTGGTACCTGAGGGGGACTGGTTCCAGACACGCCCCCCCACACCCACAATGTGGACACCAAAATCCATGAATGCTCACATCCTTTATATAAACTGGTGTCACATTTGCATATGATTTGTTTCACCTCTAGATTACTTACAATATCTAATACAACGTAAATGCTATGCCAGTACCCAGCAAATTCAAGTTTTGCCTTTTGGAACTTTCTGGAATGTACCCCCCTAACATTTTCAATCCACAGTTGGTCAAATCCATGGATTCAAAACCCACAGATGCGGAGGGACAACTGTATTTTCCTTGTTTTATTCGTTGCTGTATCCCCAGCACAGACTCAGTGCCTGGTACAAAATAGATGTCAATAAATATTTACTGAATGAATAAATTGTTCTTAACCATTTGTAGATCCGCTCTCCACAACACTTTTGTATGTAATTTTGGTGTTTCAAATGGCCCCTTAAACGCTATTGATGAACCTCTGTATTAAAAACCCCTGATTAATTGTAAATGACAAAAGATATGCTAAAAAAGAAAACAGTATGAACTATTACAATATCATTTAGCAAATAATCTTAGTAATGTTACCTAGTAATAAGCAAAAGCCAGAAAGTAGGAGTGGAACGGACTTACAACAATATCAGAAATTAATATATTAAAACACATTACTCATAAGAGAGCATCTCAGATTCTAAGAGCCTGTTTATACCTTTTACTGCACATGATTTTAATAAGCTCAGCATTTTTAGTTGTACTTCATAAAAGATTAGGACCAGAAAAAGAGCTGGGTAAAAAAATTGCCACCAGAATGCACAATGGTAGCAGAGAGCACTGACAGGGACAAAAATCTATTAAAACAAAAATTAGAAGACTAGTCTGGAAGTACAAAACTTCAGTGTGCCCAGCAACTATCACTGTATTACAGCACAGGTCAGTAACTAAACAGTCATCTTCTTCGCATCCACTGTTTAAGAACTGGATAGAGACAATATCTTTCTAAAATGGCTTTAAAAAAAAAATGTTTTGTAGCTAAAAATAAACTCTAGGATATTCCAAATAATCAACCAAAAAAACAATAGACTATTCTAAAGTCTCAATTATCCAAAAGAAGGTTAAAAAAAATAACTTTTACTGAAAATAGTTTCGTAGGAAAAATGTTTGTTTCTAAGCCAAAAACACTTGCACTTTCTATTGCATTTCAATCCTAAGATATTAAAATTTGTTTTATTATCTTTCTAATAATGCTACACTAAGTTCAGCTAAACGTTTTTGTTTAAATGCCTTAAACTACAAGGCACTGCAACATTAATAAGCAGAATAACAGATCACAAGTGCATGATTAACCCAACTTCTGCTCAACCCAAGGGTTAAGACTACCACAACAGGTATATGTGTATATATATGTTCGTCTATGAGTGTTCTGCACACACAAAATGGGTAAAACATAACAGACTCAAAATGGAGTTCAGTTGTACCTCACAGGAGATTGGTTCCAGGACCACGCCACCTCCAGGATACCAAAATTCATAGATGCTCAAGTCTCTTACATAAAGTGTCATGGTACAGTTGGCCCTCTGTATTTGCAGATGCAGAACCCACAGACACCGAGGGCCAACTGTATAAACATCTGGCCTTTGTGAGCCAAAGAGTCTCTGCTGCAACTACTCAACTCGGCCACTGTATTGCAAAAGGAATGAGTGTGACTCTGTTCCAATAAAACTTCATTTACAAAACAGGCCAGGAGGCAGATTTGTCTGTAGGCAGTAGTTTGCCAATGCCTGTTTTAAAGCCATCCAGACCTGATTATTTCACTTCTCTAAACCTCACTTTTTTCTCTGTTAAGTAATGAATGCCTACCTCACACTGTGTTGTGAAGATAAACCGAGATAATACAAATAAAATATCTGTTAAACTGCCTAGGACACAGAGCACAATAAAATTACAGTTACATTTATACAGCCACTATGGAAAACAGTATGGAGGATCCTCAAAAAATTAAAAATACAACTACCATATGATTCAGCAATTTCACTTCTGGCAATTTACCCCAAGAAAACAAAGTTGCTAATTTGAAAAGGTATGTACACAGCAATTCACCTCATCATTATTTACAGTAGTCAAGATATGGGGCTTCCCTGGTGGTGCAGTGTTTGAGAGTCCCCCTGCCGATGCAGGGGACACGGCTTCGTGCCC